AGTGTTGGAAACGTGGGGACTCATTTCATAGCTTTCAGTGATCCAAGGACATATTGAGTCCATATGTATGTCGATGCTATCAAAAGGGGATCAAGTTTGCTATGAGATAAGTTTCTCGCAAAGTGCTTAAAGATCAAACTCCTAATCCAGTCAAATTGTACCTCTACCATTCCCCTATTATTCCTCATATTTTACCTAGTTCGGAGACATCAATCCACATTCATTTGGAGCCTCTGACTTCACTTAGAGTGATAGTCGTTGCAAACTCTAGTCCACTGAAAAATCTACCGTCATCGAAAATCAGATATCAAAAGGCCTCCGCTGCAAGTTGTCTCCACAGCCGAGGAAATGGAGTCATGGCTGCTGGCCGCGGTGGGAGGGGGCAACCTATGGAGGTCTCCAGGAAAAGTTGATTGGGGCTTCGCCAACATTGCCCTCACGTACAACAGGGGGGCTCTTCCTGCTAAGGAGAATGAACGAGTACTCTCCTTTTTTGCGGGTGAGAATGAACGAGTACTTGCTATAATTAGTTCAATCATGTCAGCGGTTGATGCACCTGTTGGCTGATATGTGTAACTTTGGGCTCCTCATGACATTTGTAACATCCTTGTAAACATTGTTGTGCAATAACGCTCATACATGGTTCTCCTAATTCATCTTCTTACAAAATAATGAAAGTTCTAGGTTTGTCTTAAGTCAAACTTCATTCTGTTTGACCAAGCTTATACAAAAACATGGCAACATCTAAAACACACTTTATTTGCTTCATTAGATTCCATATAAAACATATTCTTATATGTTTAGCAACGTATTGACAGCCCAAGATACGTGAATGCACCGATGCCTACTACTCCACCTTAGAAGCCTTCGTTTCGTTCCAGAAGAAATGGGGAGAGGAGCCTGTTGACGCCGACGGGGCACGAGAAAGCGAGGGGCGGCGAACCTGGGACCTTTTCTTTCGAAGGAATGGGAGAGGTATGGTATACTTAATACTCCTCCTCCCCCGTCGGTAACGGTACGTGCTTGGTCCGACGATGCCTCGCGGCTGCCGTTTTCTTCCCTTTAATTGAAAACCCTGTGATGCGTGCGTCGACTCTTTCATTGAATCCCCTTAAATCCGGCGGGTGATACGTCGTCATCGTCGCGGCGCTCCGACGATCCCCGTGTCCGCGAAACCGCGTGTACGTGCAGCAGCGCGAGAGGCCGGACTCCCGTACGCTCCGGCCCGGCGGCGACCACGGTGGTTGCGCTCGACGTACGGGGCGGTTCTTACAGTTAGAATTTGACGTGGAATCCAGCCACACGATGCGTGATTCTTTTACGTGCGCCGCATGAGATTCTGAATGTGCCTTGAACTCATGCGTGCATACTTTGCCACAGAATATTGTCCTCTTACTTGCAAGAAAAGAAAATGAGAAAGAAGGGTGACGGCCACTGAGCAGAAAAGAAGGCTCGCCGTCTGCAGCTGAAGTGGACGGAAAAGGACGCGTCTTGAAAAGAAATCCTGGGCTTCTAGATCGACCGACCGGGCGCGCTCGTCTTGACCTGGACTGAGGTGCAGATAAAGAGGAGAAGCTTCAGAAAGGACGACCCAAGGAAGAAAACTAAGCCAAAAGCGGCACCGAGCAACAAACCGATCGAGCACACCACATCACATCATCTCGCGTTCTCTAGCTAGCTACACCTACATAAGCAGCGCGGCGGCACACCCTTGCCCTGGAGGAGAGAGGAGAGCGCCGATCGTCGGACCACGGGCAGCCACACGAGACTAGCACGATGGAGGCGCTCGCTCCTGCCGGGGGCAAGCCGCTGTCGGGGCCGCGGGCGCGGCGGATCGCCCGGAGCCGGGAGGAGATGCTGGGCCTCCTCGCCGACTTCGACGGCGGCGATGGCGGCTCCGACCGCGAGCTCTCCTTCTCCGACCTCGTCGACGCCGTCAGGCCGCCGCCCAACGCCGGCCACGCCTCTGCGTCGCCGCCGCCGGCACCAGTAGGGGTCGAAGCGGCGGCGGCCGAGCAGAGGCCGGAGGAGGCCGTGGCACCGAAGCAGAAGCAGGCGGCGGCGGTGGCGGGAAAGGAGAGGAGGAGGCTGCGGAGGCGGCAGAGCGACAACAGGGGCAGCTGCGGGGGAGGCGCGGACGGCAACGGCGTGCTGCTCAACTTCTACGTGCCGGGGCTGCTCACCCGGAGCATGACGGCGCCGCGCCCCGGCCGGGGCGTGATGCCGGCCGCGGGGGCACGGCAGACCGCGCCGCCGACGGTTGCCGCCGGCAAAACCAGGTGAGCTTTTCTGTTCGCAACCGCCAGAGCTTCTCGAAATTCGCGCCATGGATGGATGCAAACCGCAATGATTAACCTCTCCGTTCAAACAGTAATTAGCCATGCAGTCAAATAGTCAATGAATCTTCCAATACTAGTACTATCATGTAGTAGCACTGATTGCTAATAATCATGTCGAAATCTTTTCTACTCCCTCCATTCTTAAATATAAGTCTTTTGAGACATTTTAAATGAACTACAACATACGAATATATATAGATATATTTTAGAGGGTAGATTCACTCATTTTATTGTGTATGTAGTTATTTGTTGGAATCTCAAAGAAACTTATATTTGAGAACAAAGAGAGTAGTAACGAGAGTTATAGTACAGTGCTCCCTCCATGTCAAAATAAATGTCTCAACGTTTTATTAATTTTTATTTAAAATTATATTAAAGTTGAGACACTTATTTTGATACAGCGAGAGTAGTAGGTAGCAGGTGAAGTGCTCGTTCAGTCGCTGTAGACATGGCCGAGCACCAGTGAAGTCTCTGACTAGTACTACTATGGTTGCACTGAATATGTCCAACTGCATTGCTAGATTTTTCTTCTGTTTATAATACGGAGTACATGATAGTAACACATCTCGCAACCATTATAAATGCTCATTTAGTCACGTCATTGTTTCCAACCCCGCAACAAAACGAGTGCGTGGCCGCGAAAACCCTTTCTCCAACAAACGGGTTTTAAAAAGGACCAATCACCAATCAATCTGCGTTCTCTCAGGATCTCACTTCCTTTGACAATTCTCCTTTAGACCACATGATTAAACCTTTTGACTTTGGTAGCACTCGACTCAGAGAAAAATTGGAACAACTCATGTTCAGCGATATGAAAATGGAACGGCGACGACGACAATCCGCCCGAAGTTTGTTAAAAACAAGGGGGGGGGGAACACTGACCAAAGTGCAGAAATACGCAAATACTGTTCAATACGTTCTTTGTTTCTTTCTTTCTTTCCGAGGCTACTACATGTTCAATAGTATCGACCACCGCTAATCTGTTTCGGACGTTCAAATGTTTCAGGATGCAGGCGTCGCTGGACATCGGCTGCTGGCCGGCGCTGTGGGGCAGAGGCCGCGACCACCACCGGAACAAGCCGGTCTGAGAGTCTTCTATTCTTCCATGCACATACAGCCTACTCGTAGTCTGAACCTTTTTGTGCAGCTAATGCGAGCCTTTTTCCTCTGCTCACGCATGTAAATTATTATCTCCTGTTTTTGTAAACGTGGTTTGTGTTGGGGCCTTGTTTAAACTGCGTTTGGTGCTGCTGTAGCGCTGTGTGATCTTTCTCGAAAGGCAGGCAGCCACGGATGGACATGTCAACTGTAGGCTTACTTTGTCACTTTGTGACTTTGCGAGATCCGGCGGTGCTGTTGAGTGAGAGCACGCGATGCTCCTTTTCGACAGGCCGCCTCACGTTCCCCGTGGCGTGCCGCTGAAGCGATGCATGTGCAAAGCTCGCACAAAAAGCAGAACCAACCGAAATCTCGGCGGTGCGTACGTGACCTCGCTTTCAGTTTCAGTAGGCGATAGATAAACGGAGGCTGGGTGGTGATGCTGGTGGTGAGTACACAAGACATGAAAACGATTGCTGTGATTCAGCTGACTGAATCTACCACTACCAGCTAGCAGCCTAGTACGGTAGTAGTATAAGGTTCGGGGACGAGCCGTCCTTGTAGCTTGGCGCCCGGCGGAGGCACGTCTGCGTCCAAACCAGATACGATATCACTGCCGGTACCGGCCCGCTGAAGTCAAGGCCAGAGACAACGAGATAGACAGGCAGTGTCAAACGATGCCGACTGCACATCATGGCACGTAACACATCGAGGCGGCGACGTGGCAGGAAAAAGAAGAAACTGCGACCGATGCATCCAGTCCACTGCCCTCGAGGTGGTGGAGTACTTGACAATGACAATCATCACAAACTATGTGAAGAAACAGCAAACATTGCATTAGGATTCAGAGCCAGACATATTACAAACCTGCTACTAAGATCTCAAGTTCACCAACAAACTGACTACCGGATTAACCCGACACAGACAAACTACACAAGCAACAAGTCCACGACACCCCGAAGACGACGGGGGCCAGCAAGCGCGAAACACACACACTACTAGTAGCAACACGGAGCCATCAGAAATAGCCCCGGGCAACGATCAAGGAAGATCCACGGAACAGACCTCGCTGGCCCCTACTCCTGGAGGTCGGCGTCGTCCTCGTCCTCGTACAGCTCCTCCTCCTCGTCGGCGGTGGCGTCCTGGTACTGCTGGTACTCGGCGACCAGGTCGTTCATGTTGCTCTCGGCCTCGGTGAACTCCATCTCGTCCATGCCCTCGCCCGTGTACCAGTGCAGGAAGGCCTTGCGCCGGAACATGGCCGTGAACTGCTCGCTCACGCGCCGGAACATCTCCTGGATGGACGTCGAGTTGCCGATGAAGGTGGACGCCATGGACAGGCCCCTGGGCGCGATGTCGCACACGCTCGACTTGACGTTGTTGGGGATCCACTCCACGAAGTAGGACGAGTTCTTGTTCTGCACGTTGATCATCTGCTCGTCCACCTCCTTGGTGCTCATCTTGCCGCGGAACATGGCCGAGGCCGTCAGGTACCGGCCGTGCCGGGGGTCGGCGGCGCACATCATGTTCTTGGAGTCCCACATCTGCTGGGTCAGCTCCGGGACCGTGAGGGAGCGGTACATCTGGGAGCCGCGCGAGGTCAGCGGCGCGAACCCGACCATGAAGAAGTGGAGACGCGGGAAGGGGATCAGGTTCACCGCCAGCTTCCGGAGGTCGGAGTTCAGCTGGCCGGGGAACCTCAGGCAGCAGGTCACTCCGCTCATGGTGGCAGAGATCAGATGGTTCAAATCTCCAACTGCAGAAAGTAACATGAATGGTTAAATGTTAAGACACAGCAAGCAACATAATTCTAAGCACAAAGCAAACAGTCTTTATAACTGTGACTGAAAATGTGTTTGGTTTTGTCAGATTAGCATGACAACTAACAGTCATTCTCACAAATCCAACTTAAGCAAAATCTCAACCAAGACAGATCTGAATCATAACAGTGTAGTAATTGAAGTAGTGCAATACTGCAGAAGTGCATCCAAATGAATGCCCTGAGCAAATAACTCAAGCACAAGAGTCCATTTAGAGTTTCAGAGCATGTCTAAGAATTAACCAAACTGCTCTAAAGGAATAGTCGGGACAAACATTATCCAAAAAGGGAAGCTAATGGACTACATCATGTTACCGTTCTTCAGTTGTGACTAGTTAAAATATTCAGAATTAGGAAGATCCACTTGACATCATGCTCACAGTCATCTGTAGAAAGTAACAATACAAAGGTACAGATTTCACTTACAGCTGGGAGTGGTCAGCTTGAGAGTCCTGAAACAGATGTCATAAAGGGCCTCGTTGTCAAGAACCATGCACTCATCTGCATTCTCAACCAACTGATGGACCGAAAGAGTGGCATTGTAAGGCTCAACCACAGTATCAGATACTTTCGGTGAGGGGAAAACAGAGAACGTAAGCATCATGCGGTCAGGGTACTCCTCCCTGATCTTTGATATCAAAAGGGTCCCCATGCCTGATCCAGTACCACCACCAAGAGAGTGGCATACTTGGAAACCTGAAAACATAAAAGGATGCTTAAATAATGATTTCAAGTGGACAGCGGTAAAGCTGAATATAAGTAGATAACCACCCTGAATAGATAACCACTGTTTAGACACAAATAGATGAAAGCAGCATAGGTACATAATCAGTAGTTATGCTAGATGTCTCACTATCAGAATAATTCACAAGACATGCAAGCAATATGTATCATGACAACAATACAGAACAATGTAAGCAGAGACCTAGTACTAACTCTGAATCATACACCAAGTTATCCAAGTATGCAAGGTTTCCAACCAGTGCCCTTATACACAAACAAGTAATCATGGCTATACAAAAAGATGCATACAAACAGAAGATGCCACGGCATCAACGCATAGCATTACTGGCATAACAAATATTGTAGCTTAAAACTTCTTGTTGAGTGACAACATAATTCAAATCTGCATACCATGAAATAGTGTGTTCTTATCCAAACTGAACTTAATACATGTAAAGCCTGCCATAAGGATTCTAAACTATCGCCAATTTAATTCAAGTTCAGTTACCTTGAAGGCAGTCACAGTTCTCAGCCTCCTTCCTGACAACGTCAAGAACGGAGTCAATGAGCTCAGCACCCTCGGTGTAGTGACCCTTGGCCCAGTTGTTACCAGCACCAGACTGCCCAAACACAAAGTTGTCAGGGCGGAAGATCTGCCCGTACGGTCCAGTACGGACACTGTCCATGGTGCCCGGCTCAAGATCCATAAGGACAGCACGGGGCACAAAGCGACCACATGAGGCCTCATTGTAGTAGACGTTGACACGCTCCAGCTGCAGGTCAGAGGTGCCGACATACCGCCCGGTGGGGTCGATGCCATGCTCATCACACACCACCTCCCAGAACTTGGAACCAATCTGGTTTCCACACTGCCCACCCTGGATGTGCAGGATCTCCCTCATCTTCTCTCTGAAATCATAGATATACAGGGTAAGCAGGACTCACATACTGCAGTAGTGGTACAGCGTGGGAAATGATTGATACAGCTAGATTTATTTACTCAAATTATAGCAAGATCTGACTTGTTTGGCTTTTTCTGAACGCAATCATCAACTATTTGGGGCTATTATGAAAACCAAACTCTATGACTAGCAACATAGTCCGAGTGTTCACGTGCAAGCTACTATTTAAAATGAGAAGATATGGTTACACAGTAAATTCAAAATAAGAACGGTGCAAAATCAAGCCGATAGCTAGCGCCTACCTAGTTAACACCAGGATAAGTTTCTCAAAATCACATCTGAAGAGGATGTGCTCAGAAATCAGGCTTTCAGATTCTCTAATGTTGGGAAACCACGGCATGAACTAGCACCAAATCTGCTCCAAACATAGACGCGTCACCTCCGCCAGATCCCTAAAAGCGCGCCTCAGATCTACTGCTCCAGGCGCAAAATCTGACGGGAAATCCCCACAAAACAGATCCAATCTGCCCCCATACAACTTGAGCACAAGACAAAGCTATCAGATCGACGCATCCCACGGCCAAAATCACCGGATATACCCCCAGATCCGCGCACATTTCCTACTTCCTCGCCCAAAACGACCTCGATTTTTCAAATAAATTCGAAAAAAAACCCGGAAAAGCACCGACTCATACGCAGCGACATACCAGATCTAGTCTAGAACGCAATGGCGCAAGTAAATTCGGGAAGCAGCTTGGAACTTACGAGTGGCGAGCGCGACGAGAAAGCGCAGTGGGGAGTGAGGAGTGTGGCGGCGAGGAGAGAGTGGTTGTGGGGCGGGCGGAGGGCGACGGGGCGTCCGGGGGCAGGGAGAAATATATATATATAGCCGTAGGAGGGGGACCGCGGGGCAGGGGCTAGATCCGACGGCCGACGCGCGTCGCTTCAAACGGCCGGCGCGATCGGACGGCCGAGGTTTTCACTTTTTGAATTTCACCGTGGCGAGCGGACGGGGCTGCCCCTGGGATATTTCGCATCGCTGGCCGCCCGCTGTCGGTGTGACTTGCTGCGTTCTTTTCGGTTGGTTTGCGGACGCGGGTACAGACAGGTGGGGTACGGGGGCGCTGGGCCCGTGAGTCGGTGGGCGTGGGCGGGGATGTGACGGTACGGCGGAGGTGGTTGCGGGTGGGAGCAGGCTGCTGCTGCGCTGGGCAGTGGCCAGCGGTGGCCGGTGGCTGCGCACGGGCCATGGGCACGGCTGCTCGTCGGCAGGGGTTCACACCGCGAGCTGGCGGAGATCGTGTGTGTTTGGAGAAAATTTGTCCAACTTTTTCGAGGTAATTTTTCCAACAATGCCCCTCCATGCATTTAATGGCCTGCCACCCCATAGTGTTGTTTAATTGTTATTTTTCTATATAGTAGGGGCAATATGGTCATTTAATAACCTCTAGTAAGAGACTAGAAACTTTTTAGTCTCTGCAAACAAACAGGGAGGGACTTTTTAGGGACTAAAGACTTTTTAGTTGGGACTAGAAAAAGTCCTAGGACTTATGATCAAACAGGGCCTTCTTTGTTGGGGACTTTTTCGAATTCAATTGAGGGTTGGTACTTGTTACTGGAAGGTTAGAATTTCTCGCATAATTGTGCGACTAAAGGCGCGTTTGGTGGGAGGGACTGCAACAGAAGCGCTGCCCTAGATGGAAATAAAGATGGAAAAGTGAATTATGCTAATTCCTATGCTACTTGATTTTTTTATAAATAACCTATTCATCTTTAATCACGAAGTATAACGAACACCGGAAATAATAAAAATTACATCTAAATCTTTAGACCACCTAGCGACGACTACAAACACTGAATCAAGTTGAAGGCGCGCCACCTCATTGCCCTTCTCTCGCCGGAGCCGGGTGAAACTTGTTGTGGTAGACATTCGTCGTGCTAAGGCCTCATAGGACCAGCGCAACAAAACAATAGTCGTCGTCGATGAAGAGTAGAGTAGATCAAAAGGATCCAACCTGAAGATACACGAACGTAGACGAACAACGATCAAATCCGAGAAAATCCACCAAAGACAGATCCGACAGATACACACCTCCACACACACCCACTATCGGAGCTAAATCCGACAGATCTCGGGTGGGGGTCTGGGTCCCGAGTTGGTAGTCTCGGCTAGATGGCAATATGAAGAAAAGGGACACGTGATTTACCCAGGTTCGCGTCCTCTTGAAGAGGATGTGGATGGAGTACAAAGTATAATTGATCTACCTCAAGATCGTATGAATGAGTCTAAAGTCTTGCCTCTACGAACTAAACCCCTCGGCTTATATAGGGGTCGGGGGGTACCTAGGGTTACACATGGTCGGTTGTATCTAGAGATAAAAGTGTTGAATATTTAAATACGCCTTAAAATGTGTGCTAAGTCTTCCAAAGATTCCATCTCGAGTACGTCGAGGGTTGTGACAAACATAGCCCATTCTTCGGTTTTTGTCTTTCTCATCGGTCATTTGACATATTCGAGCAAAACTGGAGGCGATGGGTCGAGACGGTGAGTTCTCCCGCTCCGCAACCAGAGACCCATGTGCGCGACGATGATCCCGGTTTCGCCGAGGACTCCAAGGTGGCCCTCATCTTTAAGGATGGTTTTTTTATTATCCGAAAAGTGTTGATGAGTCTGAGGTCGCCTTCATCATTGATTGCGTGGTGATGGTGCCCTGGATTAGGGGGTACTCATCACGTCGGCCTGTCATTCATGGTTCGAGCCGAGGACCACCGACAATCGAAGAATGGGCCACATAAGTTGTGGCCCTCGGCGTACTCAAGATGGAATCCTTCAAAGACTTGTATACTTCAAGGCATATTTTCAGCATGCTTATCACTAAAAGTGTCCGACATATTTGTAACACTAGATACCGCTCGGTCCCTATATAAGCCGAGGGGTTTAGTTTGTAGAAGCAAGTTAGAACTCATTCATACGATCTTGAGATAGATCATTTTGTACTTTGTACCCCATCGCAATCAATATAATAAGAGCAGGACGCAGGGTATTACCTCTTAGAGAGGGCCCTGACCTAGGAAACATCGTGTTTTTCTCTACTTCATGTTACCATCTAGCCAAGACCACTAGCGATCCGGCGGTTTTAGCACTGACATTGGTGGCCCATACATGTCCTGTTGCGTGGTCGCAAGGGCTCGATGGAAGCATCGATTGGCGATCAAATCCAGTATGGCACGATCCTAGCGCCATACCATCAAGACCTCGGCTTAACCGAGACATAGGAGAATCTTGGAACTCGTGCGTACTGTCAGGGCATAAATCCCGACGAACCAATCCCGGGAATCAGATCCCCTGCCGTATCTTCGGATCCAACCCAAGATCCTCAAGCAATCATGCCCCAAAAGCCGGTTTTGCACCTGCCATATGATACCAAACGAAGTCCAAACACGATGAAACCTTACAGTGATTTTGTCTAGACTACGAGAGACCCTGGAAGCTTCAGGGAGAGACCAACAGATATATGAGGGAGCGACAAGCTCACGCAGCGCGCCTCGGGAAGAGAAGGCGCCATCGGCACTTGTGGCCCCCCTGAGCACCCTTCTGACATAATGCTTGGCCTATAAATTCCCTAATATTCCAAAACCTCAAAGCGAGACCCGAAACAATTTTATCACCGCTGTGAGCCTATATTCTTCCGTTGTCCCATCTGGAAGCCATTTCTGTTACTCTACCGGAGGGGGGAACCATTGGGGAGGCAATCTTCATTGACATTGCTGCCTACATGATGATGTGTGAGTAGTTCCCTTAGTAGCTAGATGGCTTCTC